ACAGTATCACCTGCTCCTGTGCAAACTATGCATTACACCACTAGGATGTGAACCACAGGAGGGCAGGAACTTTGTCTTGATGACCAAGACCTGGAACACAGCCTGTCACATAGCAGAAGCTTATTCCATTTCTATGGCATGAAACGTCACATCTCTGAAGCCTTCTTTTGCCCTTCTCAGTAGTCTAAGTGTGCTGTGTTCTCAAGACACAAGTTGGCACTAACACAGCGCTATACCTATCAGTCTACTCCAGATGAGTACTTCTCTCCCCATCATTCTTGAAATACTGAGGGATCAATACTTTCATTCACCTTTGAAATCCCAGCAGTAAAGTTATCCTTTGATTCAGATAATGTTAATTTTCTCTTAAAAATATTCTTTCAGTTTTAAAAAACAACAACAAGTAATTAGGACATAGGCTACAGTGTATTTCATTTAGCAGTGGATCATGAAGATCTCTTGTGGTTTAAAACTTTTCTACAAAATCATTTTAATAGATTCATAGTGTTTCATTGAAATGACATTTGGTGGACATTGAGAACATATGAACATATGTAATACTTTAAACAATAAAGAATTATTAAAAAATAAAAAATAGAAAGAAAAAAATGAAAACATAGAGCTATTAAAATATTTTTGGATAAAGGCATCCCCAAAACAGTTCTGCTTAAGGAACATTAATCTGGTGAAATGAAATTCACTGAGGAAATCTGAAATCTGTTGTTGCACTTTAGATGTGAATTAAAGAGCTTTTATTTGAGAGAGGAGAAAGCGTTAGTAGTGAGAGTCATTTTGTAGGAAAATGGTGACATTTAGTTGCTACCATGACATGAAATTCTAAAATGGATTTTTGAATTTTGGTAATTAGGAACCACTTGGCGACATTAAACTTGGGAGGATAAATTCTTTTTAAGAGATAGAAGAAAGAAAAATCAAAGAATGCCAGAACTTTATGTGCCAGATCTGAAGCTAGTTATTTGTGATTTTATTAGCAATCCTTCAAAATTGTGTTCACTTTTCTAAATAAGGAAAAAGAGACTAAGTTATTATAAAAGATACTCATAGTCACACAGTTAAGTAAGTACAGAGAGTAAGATTCAAACACAGGCTTGTCTGTCTAGGTTGGTTTTTTTTGAAAGAGAATTGGAGAAACTGTTTGCCCACTGTGCTCTGGGACTAATTAATTCCCTTACTACTGGGTAATATGTTCATCATGTGCCTCCTGTAACGAGAACAGAGGGCAAGCACTCTGTTCATCGTTATATCCCTGGTGCTTGGAACTGTGTAAGGCAAATGGTAGGCATTCAATAAATAATTTCTAACCTACAAAAATAAAGGAACAAACAAATAAACAAGTCACAGAACTGGCAGAAGATCCCGAGTTTCTTAACTCACATTTCCCTTATTTGTCACAGCTGACCACAGTCCCCCCCCCCCCACATTTTTTTTTCTGAACCAACACACGTGTCCTGATATCCAAGCCAATATATAAAATGAGTAATGGTGCTTGATTTGAGGAGTTTGTACAACCAGTGGTTACTCCGTAATGCTTTTAGGAAATGCTGACGTAATCTAAAAGACACCCAGAAAAACATGCTGAGAAAAATTTTGTTCTCTTCTCTTCTTAACTACCATCCCTCTAAAGCAATGACAGTTGAAAGAGTAATTTTTTAAAATGTATCCTTATTGTTGAAAGTATTCCAGATGTCCCCTTTCCCCTCACCCCCATTGACACAGACAACAGTGTGGTAGGCACCCCCACCCCAGGCCTACCACACTGTTGTCTGTGTCCATGGGTTATGCATAAATGCATATAAGTTCTTTGGTTGATCTCTTCCCATACCTGCCCTGTTGCTTCCTTCTGAGATTCTTTTTTTTTAAAAAAAAAATATATTTTATTGATTTTTTACAGAGAGGAAGGGAGAGAGATAGTTAGAAACATCGATGAGAGAGAAACATTGATCAGCTGCCTCCTGCACATCCCCCACTGGGGAAGTGCCTGCAACCCAGGTACATGCCATTGACCGGAATCGAACCTGGGACCTTTCATTCCGCAGGCCGATGCTCTATCCACTGAGCCAAACCTGTTATGGCACCCTCTGAGATTCTTTAGTCTGTTGCATGATTCCATGTTGGTGGATCCACTCCATTCATCAGTTTATTTTGTTACTTAGATTGCATATATAAGTGAGATCATGTGATGCTTGTCTTTCTCTGACTGCCTTATTTCGCTTAGCATAATACTCTCCAGGTCCTTCCATGCTGTCTCAAAGGGTAGGAGATCCTTCTTTTTTATAGCTGCATAGTATTCCTTTGTGTAAATGTACCATATCTTTTTTATTCACTCCTCTACTGATGGGTACTTGGGCTATTTCCAGATCTTAGCTATTATAAATTAACTATGAACATAGGGGTGCATGTATTCTTTCTGATTGGTGTTTCGGGGTTCTTTGGATATATTCCTAGAAGTGGGATCACTGAGTGTTATCTCTCAGCTGCCATAATCCCTTAGTAAGAGCTAATAATGTGTGTATCTACATGCTTCTGCATTTGGTTGACATTTGATTTTGTATATTCTTGTAGGATATTATTTTCCTCTTTATTATTTGGCACTTGACTAAATAAATAGTAGTCAAAGCAAAAAGATAGGTTTTTGCATGATGGTTTGATACTTACCCCCAGAAAGAGTGTTCTGTCCTTCAATGTGTTTATTTTGTATCAAGGAACTGGTGGGACTCGTTGCCTTTAATAACCTGTCCCCTGGAGTAAGCAGAGATCACCGCCCTTGGCGTTCTGGTGGCTGTTTTTAATGCCGTATACGATTATTTTGCCAGTTGACTACAGATGAAGATTTTACTACCCTATTTACTATGACATTGATAAATGAACCAGTTTTTTCTCTTTTGTCCTAAAAAACTTAAGTGGAAGAAAGTTCACAGATCCTTTTTATCTTTGCATATAACATTTGTACAGACTCTCTACCAATGATAGTTTTCTTTTTACATCTTTCTTTTAATATCATCTGCAAGTTCTTTGTACATCATTTTTCCAGTGACGATTTAAAGCTGACCATGTGTTTTTGAGGTGGTGTGTATAAAAGAACATACTCTTTGTCATTCAGAATTCTGCATTCTGTTGCATACTATATATGTACATATAAAATAATAATTAACATTTATCATAAAATTACAGTGTATGTAAGTATATAATAATGACTTTATGTGTGTTACCTCAGAAATTTAATGTCCTATGAACTATTTCATTATCTTCTTTTGAAATAATATACTTTATTTCTAGAGAAGTGTTAGGTATAAAAAAATTGAATCAAATATATAGGTAATTCCCATATGCTCCCTCACCATCTTGCCACCCTTCACATAGCTTTCCTATTATTACGAACTTGCATTAGTGACGTACATTTGTTACAGTTGATGAGCTAATGTGGACACATTGCTATTAATTAAAGTCCATAGTTTACATTAGGGTTCACTCTTTGTGTTATATATTCTATAGGATTTTATAACTGTGTAATTACCTGTATTCATTATGATAGTATCATACCGATTAGTTTCCACTGCCCTAAATATTTTCTGTGCTCCACCTATCTTCTGGTTTGCAATAGAGAAAATTCCAGCTAAGAGATGAAATAGTTTTCTGATGGTCACATAGCTACACAAATGTGGGTGCTGCTGTGCCTGCCTAGCATTTAGCTCTTAATTCATATGTTAGACTATCTGACTCATTACAGTGATTTTATCATTTAGGAATCCTAATTTGGTAAGATTATTGCAAACTTTTACTGACTTCATGGAAGTCAGTAAAGCATTTTGCCTGTGTTTTCCTTTCTTTCCCTTTGAAGTTACAATGCTGGGAGAAATATTTCAGGGAATTAAAATTTTAACTACTGGATATTTGATGAGATGTGTGAGTTAAAGAGGAATTGTTAACTGGAGAAACATTATTAAAATAAAAAAAGAAATGAACTCAGTTGTCTGATCATTTGATGAACACTGGCTGTATATGGCAGAGGCTGTAGGCTAGGTCTTACCTGCTAGGAAATGAATGAGCAAAGAATGTGCAAGCAAGAGTGAATCTTGTAAATGAGGGAATAAACTTAAAGGAGAGGGTATATGGAAAAATGAATCAAAGTTGCATGTAGTGTAGAATCTTAGGTTCATTATACACTTCTAGTTTTGGAAGACTTATCTCCATAATAGTGGTTTTAAGAAAGAAAAAAATAGTTTGAAGTTCATGTGGTAGGGAGTATATAAATTAGAAGGAACAGGTAGATAAGATTGTGTGGGGATTTTGTTTGTTTGTTTGTTTTTTAACTTGGTACCATGGCTACTGGACACTACCCAGTGCCTTGATGCCACTTGCAGTCAGCATAGATGCAGTCAGTAATGTTTATTTAAAGCTATAGCTAGGAAGATAACCTAGTTTTGGATTGAATCCTGGATTAGCAGTATGTTAGTCCTGAATGACAGCAGCAAGTCCTAGATAAATTGTATTGTTTGATATTCAGCAAATTTGACTAGTTTCTTCATGTATAAAGTGAGCAATTAGGATAAAATCATCTCTAAAGCTAAAATGGCCATAATTCTTTACAAGGAAGAAGAAGGAATGGAAAGGAAGCAGTTGAAGGGAGAATATAAAATAGACAATGATGACGGTGTTTCTCGTCATTCCTTCTGTCTATCTTATCCTTTTGGTTTCTGTAAAACCATTTTTTACTTTTTTTTTCTTGCTTCCCTGGCTTCTTCTCTTTGATCTTTGATGAACTCAACGTTTGTCTGTTCTTCTAATCTTGGTGTTTCCCAGGACTCCGGCTTCAGTCTTCTCTCTCAGTACATTCTCCTTGACCATCTTTGTTCAGATAAAAACTATACATTTTTTTATGATGATTATCAAGTAGACATCAGTCCACTTCACTGGGGCTCAGGAGGAGAAGAATCCCTCATGATCCGCTGCTGAATCATCCATTTTCTCTGTTTTTCAAGGGTCGTAAGAGTGAGGCTGAAAAGTTCTTCTTGAAGGCTATTGAGCTGGATCCCACCAAAGGAAACTGTTACATGCATTATGGTGAGTGGTCTAGAGTTTTTTCCATGTCCCCCACATTTCCTATTAATGTTGGTATGAGATTTAGGTTTTGCTAGTAAAGAACATTTTGGGAGGACATTGACTTTGTTCTTGCAGAGTTAGCCTCATTCCATAGTCTTCCCTTCTCACTCAAAACGGGCATCTTAAAGAGGGCTATCCACTATGTTTTCCTTTAGTCATTTTCATAGGACTTCCCTAGGGAAGGCATTTTCACAGTTGTTTCATTCAACATCACTGTGGAGTTTAAATGAGGTCTCATTGGAAAAACATCTCTCTCCTGGCCTGATGTATCGTATATAATCCAACTACTAGCTCTCTTTTCATTGTAAATGATAACGCATTTTTTATGGAATGTGTCATTTTGAAGTTTCAGAGGTTTACATTTTGGCCTCAAAGTCTTAGAAGATATGGATGCACACCAGCCTCTACATGCCTATGATTGAGGTCAAGGATCAACTGTGCACAGTGTAAAGGATGGCTCTCTCGTTCAGTTTAGCCTGGGCCTGGATCATACCAGAGTGAACTTATGTAACAACTCTGTCACATCCACTCTATCATTAGTAGTGAGTCATGTGTTAAGCGAGGCAAAGTAATATAGCTTGTTTGGTGTTGTGAAAGATGTGCTTATTTCTACCAGATTTTCAGTTGGAATGGCTTTTGGTGAGCCACAAAACATTTCCTTTTGCTGATCCCTTGAGGAAAAAAAAAAGTTTTTTTGGCCACTATTGGCTTTGCTGTGTGTTAGTTATTATCAAGTAGTAAACCTAAAGATGGATGAAAATTAAATCTTGAGAAATTAAAGCTAATATGCTCATACAATATTTAATTTGTTTTTGCATTTTCCAGTGAGTAACAATAAATAAGTGACAGGGTATGAGTGTGGAACATGGGAATAGTCAAATGGAGGATACCCTGAACCAACCACAAGTCCATTTGTTTATTTACATTGCATGGATATGTTTATAGGTTTGTGATGCTTTATCTTCCCAGCATAACATAGCATGTAATTTCACACAATTTATTGCCTAACCACTTCTGCTTTTGTTTCACAGTGCAATTTTATTGCCAGGTTAAGATAGCAGTCAACTAATTTAAGTTTGCTACAGAACTTATTATTACAAGTTTTCTTATATGAAGTATTTTAAGTTAGGATTTTCTTGTGGATACTGTTGTGGGTACCCCTACTGAACATTAGAATAGTCCCATGATCATTCTCTCTGAGTGCTGCAGGACCTCCTATCATTGCATCTTATGAAATAGGCTTGTTGTTTTTCCCTTATCTTGCTGCCAGCATTTCCTTTTGCCTCAACTAATTCTACTTACGGCATCTTCTAAGTTTGTTTCCCTTAATTTTATTACATGCTTTAGATTTTTCACAACCAATTCCTTTAAACGTTATCATTGCTTCCTTTGAATTGAAATGGAAAAAATCACTATTATATTGAAGAGTTAGTCCCCTTAGTCTCCCTTTATTCTGGCTGGTCTGTCTTTACCCACTTCTATCTTTGTATGTATGTATGTATTATTATTTTATATTATATCATACTTCTGATTTTTTTTTTTCAGTGTGGTAGTAGGGAGTAATTCTCCCATGAGAAATTTTTGGATTTGTTTTAATTTTATATATATATATATATATATATATATATATATATATATATATATATATTTTATTTTAGAAAGAGAGGAAGGGAGAGGAAGAGAGAGATAGAAACGTTAATGATGAGAGAGAATCACCAATTGGCTGCCTCTTGCATGCCCCCTACTGGGAATCAAGCCTGAATCCCAGGCATGTGCCCTGAATGGAAATTGACCTAGTGACCTCCTGGTTCATGGGTCAATGCTCAACCACTTAGCCACACCATCTGGGCTGGATTTAGTTTTAACAGAAAGAGCAACAAATTTATTATTGCATGTTATTTGGAAAACAGAGGTAACACATGTTTAGCAAATACATGTGTTAAAAACTGACTCTTCTTAGTACCCCTGGATTATTTAAAATTTTTGGCATACATACATTATCAGAAGTACATTTATTTCCTAAGGGAGGAATGACTACATAATTCAGTATAATTTTATAATATTCTTTCCCCCACTCTCGGGGAGGAAATGGAAGACACTCAAGATGAGACATCAAAAGGAAAAATTACAGCACAAATAACCTACAAATGGATAGAAAGCCCATAACTGAGTGATTGAAATGTCTATTTCCCTGTGCTCAAGTTATTACAGATGCACATTTAATGGAATATTAATGATTTTTTAATTTAGGGATATGTACTTCAAATAACTAAAATTTAGAACTGGAAATTTATTTTAAAATTATCTAACATAACCCGTTTGATATACAAATCGAAGTCTAGGAAAATGAAGTTGACATGTCTAAGTTAGTTGTGGGTAACTGAATTTTGGGTTCTTTTATAACCGTTATTGCTTTTTCTGCTAAATGTTCCATTTCTTTTCACAACATTGGTAGATAGACAAATGGGTGTGTAAGTAGATAGATATTTTTTATTAGTTGGCCCCTTTGTTCAGTTTTAGAAGGTCAAAGTCATATAAGTCATGACAGCTTAAAAGTCTTAAGAAAGGTTTTTTATTAATGTTAACATGTATAAGATATATCGAATAGATGCAAGGCATTTTTCTGTTTTTAGAAAGTGAATAGGGTGATGTAGGAAATAAACAGCATATTGTCATTTTTAGAAGGTGATGAGGTGAGAAGTCGGGTACTTGTTGAAACCAACTACTCAGGAAAAGTATCTTTGAAGAGATTATATTTGAAATCTGTAAGCTTAAGTCAGTTATTTGAAGAATGAGGTAAAAGTTTTCAGACAGAAGAAACAGTAAGTTCAAAGGTTACAGACAAGACCAAGTTTACTTTCACAGCAGAGAAAAAAGGCTAATGTGAGTAGGAGTAGATTGAACAGGAAGGAAAAATGGAGGAGAGGAAACTGTAGAGGAGGCAGAGGTAGAGTGCACGGGCTTTGTAGACCAAACTAAGGAGTTTGTACTTTATTATTCTAAGAGCAGGACAGGATTAGAGAAAGGTCAGAGTAGAGCAAAGGGAGCTCTGTTGGGATTTTAGGCAAGAAATGATGGTGGCTTGGACTAGGGAGTGGTTCTGGGGATATAAATACTTACCTTCTTCAGAAAATTATAAGATAATTAAAAATAAAGGGGACTTGTTTTCCATTTTGTGCCAATGGAAATGTGCTGCAGTAGTTGTCAGTTGAATTCAGGAGTACTCTGTATTTTAGAATTGGATATATGTTCCAAAATTGACTGAAAATTTATTTCATTAGAATTTTTATTAATTCTTGTCCAAGAAGATGCATACTATGATTCTCATATCAGTTACTATTTTTAGATATTCTTGGAATATTTATACCCCTGGAGTGAATGAATAACAATACATCTTCAGCTTAAAAATAAATGTTTAAATGAAATATGCATGTTGTTCTGAATCTTTTCAAAATGCTTTGTCATATGCCTGTGAAAAAGCAGAGTAGGTGAGTTTGTTCTACTAGAAATTCACTATCCTAGGTGATTTTATGTGTTTTTTATTTGTTTATCGATGATACAATTGACTTGCAAAATAGCATCCAGTTGGGACTGGACAGGGAGAATTTTAGGAATTTAAACTGGCTGCAGTGGCAATTAGAAGGCAGTATTTCAAAGCACTAGCATTACTTGTATTTTGCATCCACAGGAGGGATTGCATTGCAGATTGCCTTTTTGTCTTTGGGTTGCTTGTGAGAAAGAAAGCTAGGCCCATCTATAAAATGGACTCAATAAATTGGTTAAAGGCCTGGTACCTGCTACCTATAGTCTCAGGGATTCAGATTTCCTCATTTGTAAAGTGGAAAAGTGGATGTGGGCTTCCAAAATGTTCTCCCAGTCTCAGATTTCATGTTGTTTCTACTATATACTCAATTTCTCATTAGTTTATCTTTTTTTTTTTTAACCTCTGCAATTATTAGTTTATTAGTATCATCCAGGACTCAGATGTTGAGTATTCCTCCTGAAATTCCATAAACAAATGCAAATGAAAATATCCAAGTCAAAATTATGTAACAAAACAGCACCCCATCACAAAAGCATGTAAAATTAAAAGAACGCTATTTTAAAACACGCACCGTAAGAGAATGATAATGTCAGAAACACAAAATTGCCAAATTGTTTCCTAAATAGCTAAGCGGATAACCATAGGACCCTAATGAGTTTTGATTCTTACAAAAATCAAACTCAATAAATTGAACAATTCAATCTGTGATACAAAGTTTAAGTGTCTTCTTCCCTCATGTCTATTTGATTTATAAAGGAGCAAACTATAATTTGGAAAATATACCTGATCTTAAATGTGGCATACAATTTTAAAACTTGGCCTAATTAATTACAAATACCTTTAATGGAGTCTCAAGTTTCCTAAGCAATCCATATTTAGATAAATAGAAGTCATTTATAGTTAGCACTTTTTTTTTTTTTTTTCAGAGCCTTTGCCAGGACTACTGTCCACCAAAAAACTTCATTCAGCAGTCATGTATTTTAAGCTCACGCTTTTGGGGATACATTCTCAGGCCTTCTTTAACGTGGGAACTGCAAACATAACTGCCATTACATGATAGTGGGAGTTTAAAAAAAAAAAGTCAAGTGCTCATGTAAAGATTAATACAAACTTTCCTCTTATTAGTCCTTCAAGGACAAACTTCCAAATGCTTGCTTCTAATAATCCCATGCTGTGAGTAGAGTGGTTACTTTGCACTTTGTAAATGTAACGGGGCTATGTGAAAATTATCAACTGACCAGAATTTTGAGTTTGTTACGGATAAAAACAGCCTCAATTCAGTTCTCATTGCCCTTATCACGAGTACACAGGGTGTGTAGACAAATGCTTTTTATCAGCTAGATATATGAAAAGATAAACGCTGTAATAAACATTTGATCTGAAATGGGCAAAAGCAAGACTAGCTTCCCCTCAAGAA